ATGGTTAAAGTTATAGAATTCAAACTTTAAACTTTTTAATAAAATCTGAACAGATGATCTGTGCTTTTTTTTTTTGGAACTGGCAGGTTTCAGGCCCTCTAATTGGCTTCCCAGCTTTGCAGAGTAATTACAGCTTCAAGCAAACTTTGTCATCTGTGGTTCAGAATGGTGTAAAGTAAACAGAAGGTTTTGAAATACAGTTTGTAGTGAGAGTTGCTCAGGAGAGTTTAACTAGCATAACTACTTAATTTAGATAGTAGCAGTTATTTGAAAAAGATAGTCTAACATTTTAGAATTGTCAGATTGTTTGTGGACATGGAGATGAAAGTTAACCTCTGATATGTACCTGACTTTTTTTTTTTTTTTCTTTTAAAAATAGAAGTTCAATACTTGAGAAACATCCCTTGCATTTCTTTATACTGGTTTTATTTCATTTTCTCCATTTTCTGTATAGATCCAAAAATGGTCAAATGAGTGCAACAGACTTGTTGGAACAGAGCTGTCAGTTTCTGTTACTGATTTTGTATTTTGCTGCTTCGAACAAGTGTTCTCCCCCAAGGTTTTTCATCCCCGCTAATATTAAAGGGGAAAATTCTCGCGACCGATGTTTAATCCCAGCAAGACAGAAAGCTTTAGGATTAAAATGTGTAATTCCAAGTTGTAGATGGCTAGCATACAAGAACACAAAGTTGAGTCTGTCTGTTTACTGGCTTACTCATCTTTTTGAATGATAATTTAGACTTCCAACTGTTTTGAGTTGAGATTCAGCCCTTTAATTACATATGTTTATGTATAGTAGCAAACTTGAAGACATTATGGTAGAGTGTTCTCTACTCTTGGTAATGACCCAACTATCACTCGAGTGTTTGGAGCCAGCTCTCAGTAGCCAGTTTCACTCATTCTTCTGTGCTTTTGTAGTTTCCAAACTATTCTCTCTGTCTAAAACTACTGCGGTTTTTCCAGTAATTAGCAGAAAAATATTTTGGTAATTAGCAGTAACTGTGTATTACAGCACTTATTCATCTTAATAGAATTTTTTTTTTCTTAGCTGTAGGTGAAAGACATTCACAAACAAGTTTTTGTTCATGTTGCAATCATGACAGGAATGTTGTTTATCCCATACATTTGTATACAGCAGCACATGAAGCATGTGGGTGTACTAAATATCAGCAGGCTTCAGTTACTTTACCTACTTGAGAAGGATGGGTAGCACACCACTTTTATAAATACATTAGTCCTCCACTTCTTACTGAAACTCTTTTTGCATCAGAAAGGAAGGATACAAATGTATTCAATTTTAACCATCCACAAGGAAATTAAATCTTCAGCCACTTTTAACAGAGTATTAAAAAAAGCTCATTAAGTTTTGCTAGATTTTGTCTTTCAATAGCATCCTTCAGTGATAGTGAACTGGCATTTTTTGGTTTTTATGTTTTCAATGCCATTTTCAATTGCTAAGGTACCTTTAATTGATTTAGTTAATCATCTGTAATGAAAACTCAGAGAGTAAATACTCTTTGGTAGTTACAGAGTTTAGTATATGCATCCATATATTTTGCTCTTGTTAGTAATGCACGTTATCACTTTAAGGACTGTCTGAAAAAAATCAATATAGATAGTACCAATAATACAACTATATGTTAGATACAGATTTACATAATGTACATACTGATATCTATAATCTATTTACTGTATATACTATACATATATGTAAAACCCATATTACAGATATCATTTGGACATAGACAGGCTTAATTCTGTTAGTTCCAATTTTTGTGTGCTTGAGTTGTCAAACTTAAATTAATGCCATTTTTATGTATGCAGCTTTGTGTGTATTTGCAATCAGAAAATGAGTGGTGAAATTCAAAACTTTTGGCTCCATTATAGGCGCTGGGGAGGATGTGTTTTGTAATTGTTACGGACTTTTCTGCAGGTTTGACTCTGTACCCTTTAGCCTTTGGATTGTCCTAACACAGCCACCTCACTTTTCTGTCCCTGGCACCTTCTTTTACCTTCCTTCTCCTAAACTAGCTACTCTAGATGAGGTATACTCTAGTGATCCCCCAAGTTTTTCTTTCTCACACAGGTTCCAGTCTTTTTCCTGTCCCATTTCCACTATTCTCCCTTTATTCTCCAGTCTTTTGTTCCTGACATCTCTTCTGTAAATAACTTGCTGTATGCCATCTTTCTGTATTGGATTTTGCCTCAACGACATAGTTTCTTTTTCCTATTGTCTGAGGAATAGGATGAGGCATTATGAATATCGGAGAAAGAGCTTTCCATTTAGCAGGTGTAGAGGCAGGAGATAGCTGTAGCCTCTGGATTATACTCAATGCATAGATTGTCAATGATTTTATCCTTTAGTAATTGTTGTTGTAATTTTTTACCCTCCTCCCACTGCACTCTTATCCCTCCCACATGTAGTGTGGCCAGATGCCTTACATTTTCACAGGAATACTAAAAGGATATCAAAGGTCTTGGTTTGCCAAGTTTTAAGTCTCGTCTCCAAAAAGTAGTATTTTCCAGCAGTGTGCAGCTTTAGGCAGACACCCAGCAAAGAAAATTTCAGCCTACATGATTGAAGTGTGATAGGATTAAAGATGAGAGGATGGTTTCGTCAGGAGTAAGATGAGATCATCTTAGAGCAGACAATGCTTCTAGTCTCTTAGTTACGAAGGTAGCCCGACATGTTCCTTAGAGCTACAGCTGAGGAAGTTAAGAAAAATGAGCAGTCTGACCTACATAATAATTTATAGATGTGTGGTGAATATATAGGTTTGTGCGTCAAGGAATACACACCTGCGTTGTGCAATATTTACTTTATTCCTCTTTTGGTTCTTGTACATGTGCCTGTCAAGCTTCTGAGGTGTTCTGCTAAGCAGCAGAAAAAAACTCCTGTTGACACACATATTCAGTTCCACTCTTCTTTGCTTTTTCAAATAAAAAAATTGCAGTATGCGTGAAAGTTCTTAAATCAAGGCATCCTCACAAAGACCCCCGTAATATTGGTTCTTTCATGCCTGTATTAAGGATGGTCCAGTACAAGTAAGTCTGCTGATACTTGCTGTGGCTTTGTATCATGGAGACAGAGGCTGTTTCTTAGATAATCGTGTCCCAAATTGTGTAGGTGTTCAGGCTTACAAATCAATGCCTTGAACTATGGCTTTAAGTTCATTATGGGCTAGTAATATTAAAGAGAATTGCTTTAATGTATTTTCAGTATGCAGCTGCATTTCAGAAGGTCAGCTATGAGTATGCATCTTGTACAATTAACACCAGCAACAAAAGCGTAGAGGGTACTTATGTATGTTGGGTGTTTGCTGGGTCTGATGCGCTTCCTTGGAGAGTATTTAAAATGCATTGCTGTAGAATTCGTGGATGATAGTTGAGGTTTCAGGACCCTGAATTTGTGAAGAAAAATAACTCAAGTCAATCTAATTTATTTCTGTGAAAGCATAGCATGCCTTGTGAAGTGGTACATGTCATATAACATGACTTGGAAAGCATTGACAATAGCTGGAATAAATACGAAGTAATTCACCAAGAGTAAGTGTAAGGTTTTATGCACTTTTTTTTTTTTTTTTTTTTTTTGAATAGTCAACTGCATCAGTAAAATGTGTGGGTCAACTGGTAGGTGGTAGCTCTACCAAAAGGAAGTTACAGTGCATCATGAAGTGAACAGGAATTCTGTTGCCATATTCATTACTGATTGATTTGTGAACCTGATAAATTATTTTAGATCTGGATCAGCTCTGAACAAGTGCTAGCATTCCAGAACATGAGATGTGATGTTTGTGTCTATTTTGTGGTAGCTGCAGGAAAACAAATTACACTTCCAACAGAATAACCTTAACTTCACAAAAATCTTTAAATATATTTGCAGAATAAAGAGTTCTAGTAGGTCAGTGTTTTGCAGATGTAATGTTTAGTGCAGTATGCCACATCGTAAAATCCAATACACAGACTCATTCAACCATTGCCTGAATTACCGGTGTTGTGGTCTTGCGACAAAGGAGTAACAGGCAGTCTACTGTATGTCTAGAATTGTGTGACAAGGAAGATCTTGGATCTGAAAGCACAACCTGTGAGGACAGATTGGTTGAACTGATTTAGGCCGGAGACGACTGAAGAGAGATAAAATAGTGTTCAAATGTCTAAAAGGGATAGCTGTTGAAAAGATAAAATAAATTAGTCAATAGGGCAAGAAACAATATGCTTAAATTACAGGAACAGTTGCATTAAATGCTAGGAAAAATCTTCCAACTATAAAAATAATTTTTCCTTCTAGTTGGATGGAATAGTTTACTTAGAGGTTTTGGAATTACTCCTTTTTGGGGACTGTAGAAAGAGCTTTGAGAAATGCTTATGAGAAATAGCAGAGATAGACCTGATTGTGCCCTGGGGCACAAAGAGAACTAGATGATTTCCTGGGGTAGCCCCAATAGGGGTGTGTGTGTGGAGCTATTCTATATTTAATAATCAGACTAGTGTCAACATCTGAATTTTCTCAGCTAGGGAATAAATAAACCTATACAAGTCTTTACAATAAGTAATAAAGACAACAAATAAATCTATACAATCTTTACAGTAAATCTAATCCTGAGGTGACAGTGGCGTGGGTGATTGTGGCATGGTTACCACTGAAGGGAAAATGTCACATTCCTCCTGCCAGGTACAGATGGAAAAATGTGCCTGTGGCTACCGCTGTTACCTTGGCATACTAGAGCAATCCAGCATCTAATATTCTTCTCACTCTTGTAATGCAGACCTAATTTGCAAATGGAGAGCACACTCTTCATATGGGCAACAATACAAGTTCCATCAGTTCCTCTGACTGCTTTCTTCACCTTATGATTAGTGCCTGCTACCTTTTGTTCAAGCCCATGGTTATATTGCCATTCTGTATTTCCTAATATGTGCTGGATACATGCTGGATAGGTATACATAAGCTATATGTAACTGGCAATGTGTAAAAGAGGCAATGTCATCTATTTCCCTAGAATGTCAACTAATGAAAACAGAGCGACCAAAGCCAAACACATTCATTATCAGATGTCTTCAGTGGACCACTGTCATAGAGAGGACATTCCACGTAGACACTCCAGAGGAACGGTGAGGGATTTTTTTGTTTTGTTTTGTTTTCCGTGTTCATTACGCAGAAGCCTCGGCACAGTCTCTGCTGGGACTGCACAGCGATCAGCACTTGGAACTGGGACATTCTGAGCACATCTGAACAGTTACTTGAAGAATTTATAAGTCAGCTTCTGTAAAATATTATCTGAGCTCATAGCTAGTGTAAGAGTTGCCTGCAAGTAGGTGGGATGAGTATGTTCAAATAAGCCAAAACTATGTCATGATATGGCTCTGAAGTGTTAAATTTTGAACAATAGAAGCTTGCATTGAAGTATTTTCTAGCCTCACTGCCTTAAATTTTCCTTCCACTCCTCCTAATCTGCTCCTTCTTTGGCACAGAAAACAGTATGTTTGTTATAATTTATGTTATGTTTGCGTATTAGTTTTTCTTGTTTCAGTAAACATACACACACAGACTCTTGATAATAAACTTTTTTAATGCACCAAAAGCATGTAGGAGATATGGGATGGTGTACCTTGCTAAAATGTTCCATACCGTGTCTCTGGTTAGATGCACTGAGTCTTCCTGTTGTGGGCACCTGTCCTGTTGGGACTAGTACTATGATTTAGCTTTATTCATATTGTTTGTATCGATAAATAACCAACAGCTTTGCTTTTTCTGTTGTTCCTCTTTCATTAGTATATTCACTTAGCATTTTTATTATTCTGCCTCAGTACTGTTTCTCCACCCTACCCTTTTCTGTGTATGCAGTCTAGCACCTCCTACTGCATTCAGTAATACCCCCAGACTCCTCCCGTATCCATTGCTGCCTGAGCAAAAAGCGGCAGGTTCTGCGCTTGGTGTGGCGCCGTGGCATGCTTGGGCTCAGCTGCCCCTGCTTGTCCCTCCACGGAAACCCTCCTCTGGGCCTGCCCCTCCATGCAGCCGCTGGGTTTTATGAGGCTTGTAGGAATTTAATTATCTTTGAGGGCCTCTTTCTCAGGAGAATTTGAAATTAGCCAAAAAGTTGAGTTTTAAGAGGAGACAGACAGAGAGTTGAACACACAGCATTGTTTAATAAATCTTACTTATTTTCTGTGAAAATGTCTCTCAGGGAAGGGGGAATACCAAAAAGTCTCTTCAAATAGGAAGTTACTATCGGACAGTATTGGACAGGAGATGATATTCTCTGCTCTGAGCTGTATTATACCTGGAGCAAGTGTTTTCAAGTTTTCACTATTAAAATATTTACGAAATCAGACATGTGTAAGTCTTGAAGTTAACCATGCAGCGATCCTTTTTGATGCTGGTCAACTTCACCACCTTAGCATAATGCAGAATTTGGAAGGAAATTGAAGTCATTAATTTCTATGAGTCTTCTGCTGTGTAACATGAGAATTGAACATTGAAGGAATGTAGCATGTGAAAAATATTATAAACCATTTATTTGGATGTACTTTATGAGTTTCTAATAGGGATGTTGGCTTGTTCATGATAGGGAAGAATGGACAGAAGCAATCCAGGCTGTAGCAGACAGACTTCAGAGGCAAGAAGAGGAGAGGATGAACTGTAGTCCAACTTCACAGATAGACAATATAGGAGAAGAAGAGATGGATGCTTCAACAACCCATCATAAAAGAAAGGTAACGACATTAAAAAATAAATGACAGAACTAATATGTAAATAATTTTTGTAGGATGGTCTATTTGGGTAAAACAATATACAGGGAATAGTATTTCTACATAAATTTCAGTGTATCACAAGCGTGAAAATACTTATTTGTTTTATTTCAGTAAAGCTGAACAGCTCTAGTTTTATTCATTTGTTATGCGATCTGTTACAGCACTTCTGAAAAACAAAGTTCAACCGTTCAGGCACATGTTAACATTCTGCTTATTGTTTGAATATTATTTTTTGTCTTTTCCGTTTTGTTTGTTTACTCTTTTAGAAGTATGGTAATAAAATATTTTCTTTAGACAAGTAGATTTGCCCCCTTTCTCATGCAAATAATACCCAGTACAAATTAGATAATTTGCATGAGAAAGGCTAGCAGGATTTGGCTTTTAATGACCTTGATTTTTGCTATCTGGGAAAATAACTCTGCTTTAGTTTTCAATCAAGTAAGAGAAAGCAATGTTTTATTTTTCTGCAGTCCTTCGCAGCTTTAGCTAAGTAGGAATATGTACATTGTTGGCTATAACATACTTATAGTTGTATTTCCAGAGTCAATAGGATAAACACAGAACTAAGAGCATGTTTTAAAGATTCAGTGCCACACAAAAATTTGCTCATTATTTTGTGTTTCCATTTTGTCCTGTGTTTCTGTAAGTACAGACTACTCTTGAAGAATGGATCATTCAAACCGATATGTCTCATTTACTATACAGGATTGACATGACTCAAGAAATGCATTGAAATTGCATGAGAAATAATAACCCGCTTCTATAGGACTGGCTTCATTCTTTCTTGCTAGAAGTGAAACCTGTAGAAAACTAAGTGGAAGTCTGCTGACAGAGCAAAATAGTCTTATAGCTAATGTAACTGAATGCCTTTGAATGATGAACAATGAAAAGAAATAGTGAACACGTGCCTTTACTCATAGAGCATGTTTTGTTCATTGCACTATACGAAGCAAGAATCGTAGAAAAATCAGTGGCTGAAAACTATACCCTTATGAATATAACAAAGGTGTCATAGGAAATCTTAGTTCTATCATGTCCTAACTTTTGAGAACTTGAGTTTGCAGTGCAAACATAATTCTCTCATGTTGTTTCATTGTATGCAATTTTCTAACCTTTTTCCGCTATAGAAAGAGGTAGAAACTAATTCTATACAGCTGTAACAATATTCTCATCGTACATTGTCAGGTCGACATTGAACTTTTAGCCTTGCAGCATAGATGTTTAATGATTGTGCTCCAGGGTAAAATATGATAAGTGACAGCAAGACAGAGGCAGCGTTCAAGATGTGTCAGTCTTTCTGAGAGGCAGTGCGATTATGTGGAAGGGATTTGGGTTTGCTCTATTAAAGATCTGAGCACTGTTCCAAGCCTGTGTATCCTCTTAGTGGAGTACAAAACCACTGCGTGACAACAAGCATTTTCAAGGTGTCAAAATTAATGCTGTCTCATATAAGTAGTTCAGCTGGAATGTATGCTTTCCTTCCTTACAGTGCAGGGCATTTTCCCATACAACAAAGGGGGTTGTGGGAACAGGAGGAGGAGGAAGATTGGTTTTGTTTCTGTCTTGCCACTTACACTTTAAGAAATGCTGAAATAAGATGCTGGGTAAGTGCATGTGCAGTGCTGCAGAATATTTAGTGGCTTTGGCAACAAGCCAAAAGCAAACTCTACAAAACAAAGGTGAAATGAAAAACACCTAATAACAGAGCAGAACAGAGTTTTTGTAGCCAGTGAAGAGTGTACTGATGACCGCAAGGATTTTTTTTTTTTTTCCCCAAAACTCAAAATCCCACTGCAGATTTCTGACTGTTGGAAGACTTTAGTTCTTAGAAGTTTTTGGAATCAAAAATATGAAGTGACCATAATGACAGGGAATTGTCAATCTCTTTGTGTTAATTGAAATTGGGAAAAATACATATTTTTAGAACTGCTTCTGTTTTGTAGAAATGTTTCTGAAAAGCTTCTGTTTAAACTTTCATAGTTGTTAATGTAAGCAGAACCATTTCAGTTATAATGACTTAATGCATTTTTATTGCTTTTTTTTGCTATTGGATTTCTTTTCATGTCAGGGATTTTTTGCACTATGTGTCCTACAAACTTGTTTTGTCACCTGATTTTACATCTAAGCCCAGTGAATTTTGCTTGTGCATGCACCAGATGGTATACATATGAGTAGAAGAGCATAATCAGATTAAGAAACAAGACAGAGGAGTGGGCCTGTTCTTCTCTAAAAAGGTAGCAAAAGGTTTACGAAGAAAACAGTCTTTAGGATGTAGAACTTGATTTGAACAGACATGACAGCAACATCCCTGGCCAGATTAGCTGGAAGAACCAAAAGCACTTTTTTTTTCCCCCAATGTTTTTTAATGGTGTCAACATGTCATTTAAGTTTTACAGTAATAGCATCACTAAAATTTGGAGCACTAGAAATTCTTAGCAAACTGCTTTTATTTCTTTCTGTACTACTCTTTGTAAGTAGAGTTTCTTTCTGATGAAGTCAGATGAAAACTCCAAGTGGTATAATCTTTATCCACATCAGGATTTTTAAAATATTTGTTCCTTGGTAGGAATTTTCAACACCTGTAGTAGGGTGTATTCTTTTGAACAGATCATCCGTAGGTGAGTAGATAGGCTTTCCAGAAGGCTGAACATCAATCATATGGTTCTTTGGTTAGTGCAGTTTCCTGTAGCTTCATTGCTTTTCCTTTGTTTACAGATTTGTTTTGCAGGATGAGTAAAGAACAGATTTTTCAGAGGAAACCAAAAATTAATATAATGAGGAAAAAGATTCAATCCTCAGAGTTTGGTAGGAATGAAAAAGGTGGGAAAATCATCAAGGAGAAAGAATCCAATCTTATGGGAGCCTTCAAACTTGCTTACCAATATCATCAGGTTTAGGAAGTATTTCCATTTTTCCACCAGTTTTCAGTACACCCTTAGCTATGGCATCTGTGTTTTTATCTCCCAAGGTCTTGTGTTCTTTGGCAGACTTTTTGAGTTACCCTGCACTGTGTATCATCTCTAAGCCTTCTGCTGAGCTTCTAAAGAATGAGAGCATCAGGAGACTTTATTCTTAGAACTAGCGCTACCGCCATACCCTGCTGTTCAGCCACGGCTCAAAATCTTGCAAACCTATTACCTTCCTCTTATAAATATACATATATTTTTTAACTTGTTTTCACTGAGCTTGCATCTAGAGGCATGACTGCTTTGATGAATGTTATGTAAGCAAATTTTGAGCAAATCAGTCTTTTGATTTGACTGGCTTGCTGCCTTTAGCATCAAACTCATGTCTGTGATCAGCCAAGATCCTCCTTCTGTGTGCAGGCAAAGGGCTGCTTTTCTGAGCTGGTTTTATTCAGACTCTGATGTTCTAAGTCCAGCCTCTCAAAGAAGTTCAGAAGTATAGGAAGAACTTACCCATTTGAGTCTGCTTATGACCCCATAAATTTTTGAGTGTTAGAATTGGTAAGTTGTTACGATCACTAACTCAGTATTCTTCATCAATAAAGCTGTTGGCCATTCTGTGTTGGAGAACGTGGTAGCTTATGTCTGAAGATACGGAGGATTCTGCCCTGAATTACTCATCTTCTGCCTGAATTGCATTTTGAATGCATTTTGGATTTTTCATGTGGCTTTGTCAGTCACTGCTTTAGCACAAAGGCAGTTGGTTTTGCTCGATGGTTATCATAGAACTATCGAAGTAGATGACCTGACTTTCCAAAATAGTGATTCTGATATTTGAGAAATCTTACCTTTAGTTGATTACTAGTAGCTACATAGTGTTTGGATCACAACTTCACATATTACATGATGCATCACTAGTTATAACACATTGTACTAGTTTTTAGAAAAGTTGACCATTTACGGCTTTGTCTGTGGTCATAAACTTTAACTTTACACTCGCTTGTGTGGATTTGCTTTAGGCAAGAAGCATACCGAGCCTTTGAAATCTTTGTTGCTCATATTTCTTTCTGGAATAAATGCAGTTTTGTTTTGTTTGTTTTGTCCTGATGTGATGTGGTTTTGGCAGCAAAACAAGATCTGTAAGTGCAAAATGCTTAACTATGTTTACATGTGAGTAAAGAATGGAATTCACCAAGGTTAGTTTGCTTAGAAGCTACCAATCAACTATGGCATGGGAAAAAGATTTAATTCCTGCTAATATAGCTAGAAAATTGATATATGAAAAGCATCTTCTCTTAATAAAGCTTTGAATATCCAGCTATCCAGATGTTACCTTAAGTAGTCTGTTGGAGACCTTTTGCAGCTTTTAAGTTGCAGATTGAACACTTAAAAGCTAAGGAATTACAACATTGAAGTGGTTGATAGAACTTCAGTTCTACCCCTTATGTGAGCAGATTTCAAACTGACTCTGAGTGAGCAATTGCATAAATTATTTTCACAGTTTGTTGACAGCAACTTCAGTTGCTACAGTAATAGTATCATGCACTTGAGCTTAAAGGAATAAATAATTTCAGAGGGAAATTTTTCCCTTTATTCTTTCTCACAAGAGAGAATATGTTTTGGTGCCACTATTTGTGATTGCGCACCGGGGATATGCCCAATAGCTCTACACTTGGAACGCATGTGAGGTATGTAGGCACTGTTAGAGGTGTTTCTGGCAGGGCTAAGGGAAGCACTAATTCCATTGCGGAAGACAGAAGTAGAAGTTTATCTGGCATGCCAGTATTCAAGAAAACTGCCCAAGGCTGTAACTAGTGATAGAAAGAGACACTAAAAAGATGAAAGATAAGGCACGATCTTTTCTTTTCTTCACACATAACAGGATTAAATATATTTAACTTAGCAAAACTGAGACTTGAAGTATAATCACTCTTTATAAATGTTTTGAGGTGTATTATTCACAAAGGAAGGAAGGTTATTGATACCGCAGGAGTGTACTATAACAAGAACAGGTGAGTGTGTTGTCTTTCAGAGCTTTTAACTGCTTTCCTCAAGGTTTCATGGGTGCCTTAAGGGTCTGTGTGTGCTTATGTGGTCCTGTGACCGAGTCAGTAACACACAGCGCACTGAAAGATGTGCTGTGGAAGCACACAGCAGTAGCCAATGGTTGGCCCTGAGTTGGCCAAGGTGACCCTGGGCAGTTGCTGCATTCTCAGTATTGTGCTGTTTTTTCTACAGCCTCATCTTTGTATCTATTGCATAGACCATAGGTTTTGATGCTTCTGAACTGGCTGTGAAATGAACTTGCAGAACTAAGATGAGTATTGACTTGGGCTTTGTGCTCATGAAAGTGGCTAAACTGCTTTGGGATCTGAGATTGTCTGGTCATATTCTTGTGGTGTGTGACACTCCAGCTCAGCTGATAAACCTACTGGACTCAAATAGTCTGTTAGTGGAACCAGCTCTTGGATGTAATACGATTAAACTGCAGAAACTAGGGTGATACTAGGTGCTTGAACAGTCAGTATAATGGAGTCAAACAAAGGAGGAAAATTGGCCACCTCTTCCTTTTCAGAGCCAGATTGATTAATGTAAAAACCATGTAATTGTAATCTGTATTGAAATTTTTAAAAGTCCACCTCTAATGCAAAGACTGTAGAGTCTTACTGGCATTAGAGGTGGACTTTTAAAAATTTCAATACAGATTGCAGTGAGGATCATGTACGTTTCAGAAAAGCCATCAGTGCAGTCATTGGTGTTATGCAAAACCTACTGTTACACCATGTTTTTGTGTCCCTGGTAATACATAGGTTTATGAGCTTTCTTAGTTGTGCAGCATTCATGAAATGCCAGTATAGGCTAAGACTGTTCTGTGTGTGCTTTGTAAAAATAAATGTGTGTGTGTAGTATACTGTGCAGTACTTGACTTTAGAGAACTATACTATCAAATGATATTCTAGTGGTTTAAGGATACAGTTAACTATTATGAACTTAATTGTAGAAGTGTACCTATTTTTGTAAACTGTTCCGATTATATTGGTAACAGCGATAAGTTATATGCAGAAACGCTTCTGTGCATATTGGAACTGGATAGCGTAAGTCTTGCTAATCCTTGTCCTTTGCTCCTTACAGACAATGAATGATTTTGACTATTTAAAACTACTGGGCAAAGGCACGTTTGGCAAAGTTATCCTGGTCCGAGAGAAGGCTAGTGGGAAATACTATGCTATGAAGATTTTGAAAAAAGAAGTCATTATTGCAAAGGTAAGGAAGGTTATAGTTTTAATACTGGGTCTTTTTTTTTTTTTTTAAATGGAATAATCAATACCTAATATGTAAGGTGTATTTGATTTTTGATGGTAACTGAGTTTGATAGAAATATATGTGTATCTTCAGAAAACAAGAGTACAAAGTATGTGTGCCCATTTTGCATGCATATTTGCATGCACATGCACGACACATACCAGTATCTTATAATCTCGAGTGTGCTAAAGCATTGAGAGAGTTTGCTGGGCAGGAAGATAGCGCAATCTAAATTTAAAACAAGAAAAAGTGCATTGTAGGCTATATTACATACTTCAAAAGTTTTTCTAAGTCAACTGCAGGTTTATTTAGATAAACACAATTAATTTAATGGGTCTGTGCTCTGTTCCTGCTGTTAGATAAATAAAATGGCTGTACATGGGACTAACAATTTCATTTTTTCAGTTTTTGAGGAACAAGAAAAGCCTGAAGCTGATGTCTGAAGAGGTGGTTTAAACTAGCATTGTCCAGACACTTAAACTTGATTAATTTATTGCTACTAGCTCTTGTGCTTGGTCATAATTTTACTAAGTTTAAACTTGAAGATCATCTAACCCAAGCTTTGTTTCTAGCAATTCTAAAGTTTTGAATCCCACTTGCACAGAATAAGTTGAGAGCAAGAAACCTACATGCTCTTACCACCATGAGATACAATTAAAAATAATCCCAATTATTAAGTAAGGAGGGTTTTGAGGGATGTGGATCTGACAGAATTTTGAATGCTTGAGGCTAATGCCAGTATTTGTAAAAACTGAATGTGGATGGAAACTACTGTGATTCACATATATTTTATTTTAAAATAACCTTCAGATTTTTCTGATTTTCCTATTGGCCTATAAAAACAGGGCTTACTGAGTTTTGCAGTCTATGTTCATTTGTCTATCTGTCACTCACTTTCTAATAACTTTTGAATGTGTTGATCGGTTTCACTTAAATTTAATAGAGGAGTAGAAACCTCAAACCCAATTATATTTCCTTGTGTTTCATTAAAAGCAGCCCTTTGCTGCTTTTTTAAGAGACTTAAATTTATGTCTTCAGCAGGGAAGAGACTGACCTGTGAGTTCTGCGTGCCCTTAGCAGCTGTCTGGCATGCGCTGGCAGGCTGGTCGGCGTGTATATGATTTGGACTAACAGCAAGAGAGTGCCTTTTTCTTCTTCATAATCAGGAGGGACAGAAAGAAAAGAGGGTATCGCTGCTGCGTCCTCCTGATTCTGCATGGGAAGGAGCATCTCAGTGGCCCTCCTTGTAAAACTTCTCTAAATGGAAGCAATCTCTGTGGGCTGCCCTGTGGGTCTCAGAGTTTGATTGCTGCGTGCTGTGGCCCAGTCTCCAGCCTGACACCCCTCCCCACTGCTCCGCTCACCCATGGCACCCCGGGGGTCCTCAGGGGGGTCTGATGTCTGACTGCTGTGAGCTCCTCTTCTGCTGCACCCTGGTTATTCCCTTCCAGCCTTCAGAGCATTTCAGCTTGTTTCTTTGCATCAATAAAATAAAAAAACCACATTTTGGAATGTTAGGGGTTTTCCTTTTACTTTGCTGGCTGCTACAATGTCACTGAATTTTTGGAAGGGTTAAAACTGATTCTCGGATAATGTCGTCTCTCTCTGTTGAGCAAAACCTCTTGTTCATAGAAGTATGTATAAAGCCAGAGAAATTTTGAGGATGTCAGGGATGCAACTGTTCATTGATCTGTTTACGTGAAAACAGAAAGCTAGCACAGTGATAGACTGGGCAGAACCTGGCACCCCGTGAAGCAGACCAGGGTCTGTTTGTCTGCCTATTTGTAGACTACCAGGAAGATGAAGTGTGTGAGGAAACATGGCTTTCATCCTGTGATGAAAATGGGAACACCTTGGTCTTTTAAATCTGACTTCCTCAGAACTGGAATTTTGTTTTGAAGGGAGTCCTTCTAAGTTTTCCATAGTATTGTTGTGTGTTGATAAGAAACTGATGAAAGAATAAAAAATAGACTGTGCTTAGTTCTTCACAAGTGAAGTGATCATGGTTTTTTTCCCCTGTAGTCATCAAACACCAGTTTTTCCACTCCACCTCAAACTAAAACCAAAAGCAGACTTGAGCCTGAACTTAGCTGTCTAGCCCAGTAAGTATGCCACGGGGTTTTATCAATAACATTTAACTCTATCTATCAGTGCTAAGGATATGGTCACTAGGTAGAATAGGCCTGCAGTCCCAACTCAGCCTGTAATGTGGTATAGAAGGTCGTACCTGCAACAGCATAATATGAAGCCGAAAAGCAGTGCGTTAACAGCTGTATCTGGAAGGCTCTATAACATCTGCCTAGTTCAGACTAAATCTGTTGATCCTAAATTTTCATGACAGAATTAATATTACACTTACCAGGAAATTGCTACCGGTATTACAAACTTCTGAGGCAATGCCAGAAAAACTGGCCATTGCCAGCTTTTATGCCCCATATGGGGTGAACCACCGAGGTTTAAAAATAAATAAATAAATAAAACCTTTAGGCTTGCTTTCCTCCTTGAAGTGGTTTTTTTTGTTTTTCCTGCAGTATGTGGCTCTAGTGTATACACTCAGTCTTGCACTACTATTCAGCTAAATGGCATCATAATTTATTCTCACTAACACTGTTGTTGTTTAACTTCCTATTTTGACAATTTTAAAGGTCTCATTTAAAACTCCTGACATCTGTGTTTACTTTCTAGTTTAATAATACCTTATCTTCAGAGTGTAGTCTGATAAGCATGTGCAGTACAATAATGCTGTATTGTTATTATTCATAGCAATAATAAAATATACCCTGACTAAATATATTTACTTCTGCAGGATTATAGCTGCAGTTTGACTTGCACTAAGTTAGCCTTCAATTCTGTATAATACTCGGCTTTCCGGGGCACGAGCACCCACGGGGGCCAGGTTGGTTTCTCTCTCGTCCTTGGGCACAGGACTCATTTTAATCCTGCCCATTCAGGCTCATGGACAGGAGGGTGCCCCAGTCTCTCTCCAAGTAGCCCTTTTCTCAAAATCTGGCTGGAGATGGGGGTTGTGTGGACGTCTCGTGTCTCCCGCCTCCCGTGGCCGAGGTTTGTGTCCTGGTCAGAGGAGTACTGCTCGCCTGGCTGGCGAGGACAGCCCAGGGCGGTGAGGAGGGGGCTTGGTATGGCTACATTGTTTTAAAGAAAAACAAAACAAAGGCCAAACCAAGCGAAAGTTTAGAAATCAAAAAACTGTCTTTACTTAACGTTAGGGTAGATTAGACTAGGTTTTATAGTTGCCTGTCTCTTACTACCTGTGTGCATTTCTTGCAAATTGATTCAGTCTCTGTGGATAGGGTGTCCAGAACTGCAAAGCTGTGATGACTGTATTTTTAAATTAACAAATCCAATATTATATTTTCTTCCTTCCTTGCTTTGGGTACAAAGTTAAAGACTTCATTTTAAAGCAAGAAACCAAGAAAATCAAATAAAATATGTTAAATTGTATTTTGCCAAACTTAAATTTAGTCTAAAATCTTTTCTCCAAAAATGTAAATTATTTTTCATGTTTCTTCCAGGTTCATTCATCTTCCAAAACTGTACTGTAGCTTTCTCTTTTTGCACGTGTTGACCTTTTCTTCATAATTAATTAAATAACAATTTCGTATCTTAATTCAGACCTACTTCTTCTGCTCTTTGTTTCTCAGGATGAAGTTGCCCATACGCTTACAGAAAGCAGAGTATTGAAAAACACCAGACACCCTTTTTTAACAGTAAGTATTAGGAATTAGTTTTAAGTACATTAGCAGGTTATTTTCAACATGTTTGGTATTCCATTATGAATATAATTTACAAAGAAACTTTGAGATCTTTCTCATGATGATCTGTAAACAAGCAGTAGCTATCTGGTGCTCATGGTATCTTTTATCAGAACATGTATTCAAGAGTTCAGAAATAAAGTTTCTAATAATTTTGTAAAGCTTAACTGCACTGAAAACAAATTTAATTGTAGAATGTAACTCGTGCAATTTTTGTGATTTTTGTATATGAACTTTTTTTAATAAAAGTTATTGCTTTCACAGTGTCAAGTAATTTTTACCAAGAAAGCTTACTTAAGAATTCAATAAAATGATAAAAATAACTATTTGTTCAACATAAGTAGCCCATTGAAAAACAAAACTCAAACCCCACTACTTCAATGTCTTTCTCTACATATGGTTAATATTTAATAGAAGAAAAATATTGAAAAGAAGATGAAAATTTTGAGATTCATGACAAATTATGATTAATAGTTTTAATTTTACAACTGACTTTCTTCTGTAGAAGTAATTCTGATTCCTCTCCTTTGAGGATATATTAGAAAATCTTTTCATTGATTTCAAAAGATAATTAGCATGTTGTATTTTACGATCAGGAAAACTATTTTTCTGGTTTTGTATTAAAACATCAGAGGATAATATAGAAGCTTTCCTATTTAGAAAATCATAAACCCTTTAGAAAGCAGAGGACTGTATTTACATTGCTTGGCCAAAATATTCTTGGAAATTCAGTCAAGAGAAAAGAGGTCCCCCAAAGTTTCTTAAGTTAGAGTGTAAAGGTAAGGAGGAGTAAGCATAATTCCAATCAAATCGTGCAACACTGTCACTGCAGTTGTATCTTTATATCATTCTGATATTCTTAAAAAAATATTTTAAGGAGACGTAGTATTTAAGTCACATGAGTCTCCTTATGATTTTGTTATGTGTGGTTCTACTGCATTTAATTTATTTTAGGCCAAGCCTGCATCTGTAGATTTTCTTTGGTGCTACTTTTCTAAGCAAGACCAAATCAACACTGATAAGTCAAAAATTTCAATTAAGATAATAACATTTGTTACATTTTTAAAATGACACATAAATAAATATATTTGTTTGGCACTCAGTGTTTTTAACATTGCGTAACGTGTGAAACTAGACAGTCCTTGCCTTGGAAATGAAAGCAGGCTGGAGGTTAATATCACCTTTAAGATTTTATTTGGGAGAAATTAAAAAGAATATGATACTCTCTGTGTTCATGGGCATTGTGGAAGTACATCACAAAATATGATGAATGGGAATAGCTGGTACCATGTATGGCAATAAGAAATGCAGTAGAAAATTGTGTATTTTGGTAGCTATTTAGTATTTTGTTACAATAAGCATGGTGTTTTCTTATCAATGGCCATGTGGCAGAGGTAAGGGAAGACATGACGGTTTTTGTGTTAATTCATCTCAAGCTCCAGATAGGAAGTTACACTTTATTACCCTGAAAGTTCTCACCTAGTCAGGCTTGTCTGCTTAAGAGGATGAAATTAAATTTTGTTACAGTTTAAGTGCAAGAAATTGGGTTAATACAAGATGATAATTGGTTTGGTTTTGCTGTTTTCTTTGCAAGTCCTTGAAATATTCCTTCCAGACAAAGGATCGTTTGTGTTTTGTGATGGAGTATGTTAACGGAGGAGAGGTAAGTTTAAAAAAAGATGTTCTGCGCTTCTAGTGGTAATGCTGTCACTGGGTTACACTTTGAAGGATACAATTTTTCTTGCCATTTTTGCTTTCTAGTACCTTTGAAGGTTTTTTTTAATTTTTAAAAACTTTTATTTAAAAAAAAGTAGATGTGTTTTATTACTCTGCTGTCAAAAGTAGTTCCTATTCTTAAAAATTAGACTGTTGTATCTTGAGGGATAATTTCATGGTAGAGAAACAATTACAAATAGCTTGCTTATTGTTTGTTGCTCAAGCATATTACAGAGTTTTGTGGCATGAAATGGTCATACTGTAGTGCAAACATGCAAAAATAATGTTGACTAGTCTTGTGTTTGTCCTAGTGTGAAATATGCGCTCTCTTCTTTGCTATAGCCATTGCAAATACCTATGAGAAAAGAGTGGAGTGTTCATATTTTTCATTACTTCTGTCCCCTTCACTTGCTGTCTACTCTGGAAATTTAAACTTAAGTGCTTAACTTCTTAGAGTATCGTTAGCCTTTAAACTGTTGCTGTTCTTCAGCTCTTTACTAAGGAATAGAATATCAAAAACTATACGCGAAAAATGGAATTAAAGAGGATTGTAATCTAAGAAGAGGGCTCTTACCTACCTTTCAGGTGCTGTTTGCTATTCGGACTGTATCTTGTTACAACACGAACTAATGGGGTTTCCTTATTTTGTGTACTGTATGCTGCGTAATAACCTTAAAGGACTAAGTGTTTCCACTACCTTTTTTAATTAGTAATGTCTTCATTCAGGTATTGTTGCAGCATAATACCATGTTTTGCATTATCCTTTTGCTGCGTTCTCCTACAAAAAAACTCTTCAACTATAATCCTAATGCCTGAGCATCCCCAGAGTGCCTGTCCTGCACTCATTGCTCTGGCGATTTCTGGGCCCAGTCTGAGGCTCATTTAGATCCGAACTTGTCCATGGCTGTCCTCTACCAGCCATGGCTAAACATTCTGCTATAGGGTTCTCATATGGGAGGATGGCTTGTTTAACTCGATACATATAAACCCGGTTCTGGACATCACAGGCATTGAACCGTTTTGGCTAGTTGAACTAGACACAAAAATCTCCCTCAGCAGTAATGGGATAACAGCCTTCTCTTGGACATTCAGCTGGCTTATTTGACATTGCATTTATGTCACCAATATTAAGTCAGTGCTATCCACAATTGAGTTTTAAAAGTGATGCCTTGTAAGCTAGCTAATGCTTCTTAGTTTTCTCTGTTTAAGACCTTATTGCACTTTGAAACTATGTTTTTAACATCAGCCTATCATTTAGATGCTCATCTTTTTGAAAGGTACCTTTCTGTCCTATTTGAATGCAGAGCAGAGCCCACAGAGAATGTTTTTGACTCCTTTCTTATGAGTGAGAATACTCTGTGTTTTGATCAGGCTTGTACCTTGCATTCCTCTGCATTGGGTGGTACACCTTTGCGGCAGTGATTGCAAACATCTTGTCTCATGGGTTTCTGGATGGCAGCCTGCTTTTGCTTATTGGGTTGTGACTGATTGCAATGTGCTTTGCCAAGAGCGGGTCACTTTTTTCCAGGTATGATGCTCTTGTTTGTCAGTGCTGCCCATGTTCTTTGCTGATGGTTCCCTAATTCAGTGTAGCTAACTAAGTTTTTGCCACAGTGGGAAATAATGGCCCTTCAGACTTGGCAGTTTTATTTGAAGAAACTCTCTTGATTTGCTTATGTGCTTCTCCCTGACTAGAGATATGGAATAGTAAGTTGGAAAAACCATCCTTTTTAATAGGAAAATCTTTAATCTTACCAAATTTTCCTGTGAATGTCAGACTTTAGTCACTGCTAAGAAATCCAAAGGACTTCATATTTGTAAAAATAGCCTTGTTATTAACTAAGAACTGCTGAAAGTAAGTTGCACAAAGCTTAGCCAGCGTTTTAGCCATTTTGTGGGCGTCTCCTTTACAGTACACAGACTTTTTTCTTTTGCTGCTTCCCTCTACTGTTCTCTCTGTGTTCCAAGGAAGTTTCATTTTCTTACAATGGATTCTCACTGTTGAGGGTGTTGAAAACTCATCTTTTAATTATATCCTTCTAGTGGGAAATTGACTGTAGCAGTACCATGTTGCTTTTGATTCTCTCCAGAGCTGTACTACCTTCAGTGTGTTTCCATTTAAAATTCTTTTAGATTAAAGATTTCTTTTTAGTTAAACAGTTGTGCCTGAGTCAGTTGCTTGGGAATTTTCATGGATTATGTCTTTCAGGAGCACATTACCCAAACAGTCCTCCAAATGAAGGAGTTCTTGAAACTTGCATCTGTATTCTTGACTCTCACCCAGGTGAAAGCAAGAAAATGTCACAATTTAGGCTTCTGCCCTACTACAGTGACAAAAAGTGTAGTCAGTACCAGGAGTCTTCAGTTCTTCTTCCTATGGTTAGGAAGGAAAACACTCAAGGAAGAGGTCACTGAATTTCATTCTGGAGGAGAAGAAATTGTGTTAAAATTATTCTAAGCAAGAATCTTCTATACCTGTTAAAAATCTAGATCCATGTTGAATTTGATATCCCATCAGAATAGTAGTAATTTATCTTTGCCTTACTATGACTATGTAACTTCAGATTAGTTGGGCTCAGTTAATATGGGAACACGTTATAATGAAAATGTAACTGCATCAGTTTTACTGGTCTGTGTGTGTGCTTTCTTACAATGTACAAAGCATTACCCTACCGAATTCTCCTTTGACTTCACTTTGGAAAAAAAAAAAAAAAAGCAGCATGTTCTATAGCTAAATATATTAAAGCAAAACATTAGAGGACTTTTTCAGGCAAATTATTCAGATGGAAACACTGAATACATTTTCCTTACACTGACAACTTCTACAGTTAATTTTCTGCTTCTTAAGGGCCCAACCTTGAAATCTTGGGCTAAAATGTAAGCTGAGAGCTTAACTTTTTCTTTTTTTTTAGTGTTGCTGTTGGATCCTGTGGATGAAATGTTTAGCAATGTCTGTTGATCGTAAATTATATTGCACTATGGAGCTAGAAGGACACTTCTAATGTTGTGATTACTCTCAATACCTTCGTAATACTGAAAGAATTACATTAAAATAGCATTAAGGCATTGAAATTTTATTTTAGAAAAAAAATACTCATCTGACTTAGTTGAGATGACCAAATTCCACTATTGAGATTTTGAAATGGCATATTTTATGTGTGTGTGGTAAAAAAATACATGCAATATTGCAGGATAAACCGTGTTCTTTACTTTGGTTCAAAATACAGAATATTTTGAATATGTAAATATTTTTAAATAAGTAAAAAAGTACTTACAGGTGAACATGGGCATACTTTAAAGAAAAGAAACCCCCTTCATTTTTGTACATTTTTGCTGTCCTTGTCCTACCAACATTTTGAAAAAACTCTGTAAGGCTGCATTGATGGTTTTCCTGCTAGCATTGATTTGCATACTCTTCCTTGTGTAACCCATATAATTTTGAGTACTATGCGATTGCAGTACATTAGTAGTACATTACAGCGTTCCCTAGACTTCTAGGCCACACAGAATGGTATGAACTGTGGTATAAAACATTATATTCTAAGAATGGCTTTCTATTGTTGGGGATACTTTTGGAGTGGATGTTTCCCATTTTTTATTTCCAGCATTTTACTTTAAAGGTTGAAAAGCTTTAGCAATGAAATCTATTATATGCATTACTCTGCAGACTACACTGATTCAGCTGACTAATAAGTTGATTAACTTTCTTGCTTTGCATTTTCAGGATAATTCCAAATTCTGTACTTTGTAACAAACTTAATTGGTAATTATCTGTATAATAAAATTAGACTCTAAAATTTGTTCAGATGGTTTCTCCACACCAGAATTCTGAATCTCTGTTCCACTTGGCATTTTTTTTCCTACAGCTCTTACTTCAATTCATTAGGCAAGAGAGAACTAAATGGTTTGTTTTAATTGAACAAATGCTATTACTGTCCAGAAAAAAAGAGGATTTATAACCTACCTAATGAAAAATCATAGAATCATTTAGGTTGGAAAAGACCTTTAAGATCATCAAGTCCAACCATTAACCTAGCACTGCCAAGTCCACCACTAAACCATGTCCCTGAGTACCACGTCCACCTGTCTTTTAAATACCTCCAGGGATGGGGACTCGCCCACTTTCCCTGGACAGCCCGTTCCAGTGCTTGACAACCCTTTTGGCAAAGAAATTTTTCCTAATGTCCAATCTAAACCTGCCCTGGTGCAACTTGAGGCCATTTCCTCTTGTCCTATCACTTGTTACCTGGGAGAAGAGACCAACACCCGCCTTGCTACAGTCTCCTTTCAGGTAGTTTTAGAGGGTGATAAGGTCTCCCCTCAGCCTCCTTGTCTCCAGGCTAAACAGCCCTGAAAAAAAAAATCAATATTGTTGTAAGCTTTGTTGTTTTTATCTTGGTTGTGTCCTGTTATGTTTTCCTAAATTCTTAAGTAAATTAGAGAATGTTTCTAAGCCTAAAATTATGATAGTCCAAGGTAAAGGTGCTATATTTCTTTGGGTATAGAATGTGCCTAGAAGCAGTATAAAGTCTGAAACAATAAACAAGTAATTAAAAATTTCAAAGCTGCTACTGCAAATGCTTTGCAAAAGAGTCAAATCAACAGTCGAATATAAAATGTGTTCAACTGCAGAGCTGAGCCAACCCGATATACAACAGCAAGAGCCAGACATAGAACTTTCAACATGCTAAATAGGTCACTAGCATTTGTAGAAGTTTAACATATCGATTGATATGAGGTTGTGTCTTTTATATATTTGGTATGCTTGGACCTGCAGCTGAATATACTTTTATGTTTGATCTTTGGTTTTGTTTGTTAAATTTTTTCCATTAACATTTTTATTAGGAAAAAACCCCATGGCAACATTGTTGTTCAGTTTTTAAATAAAGACATACCAGGAAATTTATAGCTCCTATCCTCACTCTAACTATAGCACCCTCATGTATGCCATCAAAGATGTTATGTGCAAAATGGCTTTCTGTGTGCCAAAGCTATTTCTATTGCAATTCCAATGACTTTGTAGCACATATTTAATAACTGTAAATCAATAAATAGTGCAAACGTTGGAAGCTTTTTTCATAACCTTCTATCAGATTTCTTTTCCTTCTCCGACTTAATAATATAATGTTCATTTTCTGAAAATTGTAAATAGAGCATAATTATTCCAAAATAGTGAACAAAGTAAATAATTAGCAGAAAATAATGCTGTAATCTCACTAAATTAGATTTTTCTATTATAACCTTAAAATTTGCTTTAGTATCTTTAGCATATATCCGAGTGTATGAATTCACTATTAACATACATTTTTGTATTTAAGTGTACATTTTTCATTCAAAACCAGCACGTATGGTTTGATGACAACTCTGTTAGGTGCTATAATAATACGCAGAATGCTTATGAAGAGTGACTGTAGTGTCATATATAATGTTAAAGTGACTTGGGAACTCGTGGTCTCTTTGGCAAACAGAACCGTTGCTAGTTGTTTCTAGCTGGTCATTTTACTTTGAAATTAGTATTTTGAATTAATACCAAGAGTATTTTGTTGGAAATAAACACTAAAGAAAATAAATTTTTCATTCTGTTAACTTGTCAGGTTATTAACTCTCAAGCTTCAGATTGGGACACTTTTTTTACAGAAACTAATGTATCTGTTGCTGACAAGGATCCCGAGGTTTAGAATTTTCTAAGACTTTGCTGCTCAGCTACTGGATTAGTCTCTTTCATAGACCCTTTGCATAGATATGAATGTAGGGCTAACTGGAGGTTATGTTATAAATTTTTGGAATGTGTTTGCTATTTGTACAGTTGGCCTTTATTTTGAATTGCTTTGAGGATATCAAAGCAAGGAAAACTCTTTTAAAATGAGTGTCATTAAATTTTTATTTATGAAAGGGACCACAAGCCAGACATAAATGCATAAATTACATAAATTTTGTATTTTGCTTTATTTGGGTGAAGATCTACTTAGTGGTGTTTGTTTCCTGTTTAGATCTTGCAAAAATGACAGAAATTGAGAAAGGTATTTATTCTTTTCCCAATTTTATAATATGCGAGGCACTTCATGAAGGCAGACTTGGTTGCTTCGTCTGTATGGGCCTTGTGTGTGCGCTGGCAATTAAGCAGTCGTCAGTACAGGTTACTGCAGGGAGGGCTGATGCTACCACCAGGGACTGGTGCTTAACCAGGGAAAGGAGCAGCAGGAGCAATTGAAATACCTACAAAATAATGATCCTCCTTGTCATGGAGGTATTCCATTTTTACACAGGGTGTCTTGAGAATTCAAAAAAGAAATTGAAAGGGGAATGCAAGACACAATGAACAAAGATGAAATATTCTCTTTAAGTCACACTGTAGTTTCTGTTTTCTGTGAAGTCTCTGCTTATACAAATATATGCTGCCAAAAGGCTCAGTTTAGTGGGAAGTTTGTTTAGGTTCAGAAGAAAGCTTCATTTTTTGAAGCACAACTGCCAGGAAAGAAATTGACTTCTAGTTATTTGTAAGATTGACTTTTAATTACATTTTGAAAAGTCCACACACTGAAAAGAGCTGCAGGGATTCTTATACAGCTCTGTGCTGTGTGAGCAGTGTAGATTTGCTGCAGGTGTAAAGTAGGATGTGGTAGTGACAAATTAAGCACATCATTGGTTTCTTGGTTGGTTGGTTGGCTTTGGAGGTTTTTTGTACCTACCGTGCCACTTTGGAATTCTCATCTACTTGATATTTCAGCAGTGAAAATTAAAAAAAACCCCTACATTGTTGTTACAGATTTCCTTGTTTATATTAAATTAGAAGTGATCACATTTTCTGATTTCTGGTTGATTGCTAGCTCTTGTCATAAAACCAAAACCATTGTAACTTGAAGGAGTAAGGCAGGCAGCCCGTTTGGTCTTAAGCAGACTACAGAAACACGCTCACTGATCTTTGGTTGAGGACTTTCCCAAGCTTTCTTAACACAGAAAATAAAACAAGGCATTTTACAGACCATTTGAATTAGATAGCTGAATTCTGCTTTTTTAGGTGTTGTTCCAGCTTCTGAGGGTGATGTTTTGTCCAGTAAGATGCTGACAACCTAACAGAACTTCACCTTACACTTTTTTTATTGCAGCTGAAGTTATTGGCAATACATAATCATTGATATTTTTCATTGAAAGACTTCAGTTGAAAAAGTGTCTGCAAAGTGCTGTTACTTACAAAGTGTTAAAGAAGAGGCAAAACCCCCAAAGAAATGTTTACACTGTAGCAAAGAAAGACACTAAATGCATAGATTTGTTTTTATAAGCCCTAAGCAGATGTTGGTTTGCTTTTTCTAGTGACTGTGATATTGCTAGCAGTGTGAATGTGCTGTTTTTGTAAAAAGCCAGCTCACCTGCTCAGTTGAAGTCTGCTGAAGAACTGGACTTTTCAGTTCCAAGGGAAGTTACTAAATTACTGAAAAACTTAAGGCGGGACCAGAATGTGGGTATTTTGGTGATACTTCTCATGGCTTAAAATAAAAAACTGAGCAATTGATGGAGGGAGAAGTACAGAATGATACTGCTGCTTACTTTTTTTTTTTCCCTTTGGTAACTGAAGGTTAAATGAGTAGCAAGCAGAATGCCTTAAACAAGATTGGTATATTGATTAAAACGCTGATTTAACAGCTCGCTTTCTCCCTTTGGAAACCTGGAAAAGATAAGCCAGCTGCTGTCTAAGAGTGCTGAGTGTCCACTGAGAGTACACTATCTATCATCACAATATGGTGATGAGAGGTGTTTTATGTTTGTGTTAATTTCCCCCACTAAATCAGTAATTATTACAATCCTGTCCCTGCTGTTTACCCTGCAGCTGTTTTTCCATTTGTCGAGAGAGCGGGTGTTCTCAGAGGACCGCACACGCTTCTATGGTGCAGAAATTGTCTCTGCCCTGGACTATCTGCATTCTGGGAAGATTGTGTACCGTGATCTCAAGGTAAAAAAAGAAAAAAAAAAAGTAATCAAATTTTTGTTTTTGCAGAGACTATTGGGACAAACACAAAGTAATTATAAAGTTGCACTATTCAGAATTAATGGGGAAAAAAAAACCTGTGTTCAGTTTAAAGTTTTGTGTGTGCTGAAGGAAGCCGTTTGATGTGGTAATCTATAGAAGGGTACATTACTTGACTTTAACTTGATTAAAAAAAGAATCAGCATCCTTAATAATAGCACTTGAAGGACATTTAAACTTCTGATCCTTTTTTTTCCCCCCATTACTTAAAACTTAACTTGGATTTCAACACAAATCTCAAACATAATTCTCAGTGTCCCCAAACAAGGGAAGTGGGGAATTGGGAGAGTGTGGCTGCATTCTGTTTATCTCACCAGTTATGTTCTTGTATGATTTGAAAACATTTACAATTCAGAATACTTCAATGGGAAAATTATTTCAGCCTTAATTTAAAAATTGTTTTGCCTTTTGCGTCTTGGGAAAGATTCTTAGTACTGGAATGCAGTTTGACTTAGATTTGCCTGCGTATACAGTTGTGCATCCTCTGTTGCCTGAAGCTGCAGGTACTCTCTGACACAGTGTGACCATGCTCTATGGAAATAACCTCTGCTTTCAACAGGAACATCTTCTAACATATGTGGGAGGAACCTCTAAATTCTGTGATGAGACTATTTTGTTTCTGTAACAAGCCTTTAATTTCTTGTACCAGAAATTGTGCTTTCCTGTTATACATGCACACTAGTGGAGGTCATTCATGGACTCCTTTGTACAGGAACTGAGGAGAAGGAGTCAGTGGTAGGCAAGTTCTGCTCAGGGAGGCAGACAGAAAACAAAATACCGGGTTACCTGTTGGTAGCAGAATCTGTTGTAATAACATGAAATACTGTGACATCTTGGAAAAATATGGAATCGTCTGGTCAAGGAATGATAGGTCATGATTTTTGATTTCTGAATAGTAAGGAAAGAGGAATTTGATGTCATTGATCTCCTATTGCTGGTGTCACCTACTTTGCGTCTTCTTTGTATGACACCGACTCAAGAGGAAATACATACCTTTGAATTCTATTTCAGGCTTTATGCAGGCTTAGGAAGACAGGGCTTGACTGTTCTTATTGGTATTTTCTCTCCACACCTTATATTTTGGGAAAGTTATGTTAGCTGTGCTTATGAGATAGTCCACAGTAAATATTGCAGTAGTTTTTATTCCTGTTCTTTAAATACTTCACAACGGGCTATATTCTGTTTTCACATTTCAAAGCAAGAATTGTGTATTTAAAAAGCAATGCAAAGCATGCAGAGGTACACATACACAGTTTAAGACGTGTCCTTTGCAAGGATACAATGAGAAATTTACCTCAGGGTTTTGTTTTTGTCAGTAGCCTCTCTACCGTTACTTTTGTCTGTTATTGAAACGGTTACGGAAGATGCAGATGTTTTAAGGATTTGTGGATATACTAACTGTTTCATGCCAGTATAGTAAGTAAAATGCATCTTGATAAATGAAGATCATGTTATAGGAAAGGAAACCTGTGAAGTCTTACCAAAAGACAGCCATGATTGTAACCTTGAATTACTTGATTATATCTTGAGAATATTTAGAAAATTATTTTGTTTTCATTGTATAGAAGATGCACCAAACTTGTAAAACTTCAGAATGAAAGACCACACTTTGAATGACCTGGGATTTACTATTATAAACTGTGTTAAAGTATTAAATAATTATTTAAATTGTATAACACTAAACAATGTTAAATGCTGTAATATACTAGATGCTGTCATTTTTTTAAAAGTTACAAACAAATTACATTCTATTGCAACCAATAACTCTGTATGTTTTGTACAAAATCGATGTAATGCATCAGCCTGTCCTGTTAAGAAATACTAAGGGAACATTTTTTTCCCCAACACAGTTAGAAAATCTAATGTTGGATAAAGATGGACACATAAAAATTACAGATTTTGGACTTTGCAAAGAAGGAATCACAGACGCAGCAACTATGAAAACATTCTGTGGTACTCCAGAATACCTGGCACCTGAGGTATGATTTAGAATATATTCTTGTAATACAGTATAAAATGTTTAATTTTCATTTAATTTTAGACGGTGATGTTTGTATGCTGAAAACTTTTCATTGTAGTAAAGAACTGACAGTCTGCCTGATTAATACTATGCAGTTGTTACTCAGAATTGTATGTGCTACTATTCTTTGTGGTGCTGGTATATATATTGATGCTGTGCTGCTTAGTGTTTTAAAAGGCCTCTAACATGCATTTTCCTTCTCATGTTTGCGTTCCTCTGTTAAAGTTTTTATCTTCCAATGATTTCTTCAAAAATAATCTTCCATCTGTCTGTCACTTGGAACATATGATCCTGCTTAACTGAGCTGTATAACTAGCGTTTATATAGCCTCAGTGGAGGCGAGGGGGAATAGAAAGGTACTGAGTTTGCTGGGTTTTATCCGAACTAAAAACAGTTGAGTGTATCAACCTCAGAACTGGTTGAGGTGAGTGCCAAAACTTAGCTGTTTCCTAGTATGTAAGCAGAAGTGGCATCCCAGAATACGGGATCTTTACCACTAGCTAGCACTTGGAGTGCCAAGCATCACACTTCTCGAGGATCAATAAAAAGATGGACATGAGGATATTGTTTTGGTTCCCTTCGCAGCTCTGGTTTGGCCACTTGAGAATCTGTTGTGGAAGCTCAAGTCACCCAAATGACCTGCTCCAGTATCAGTGCCGACAGCTCTGCCACTGATGCCTACTGAAAAAAAAACCAAAGGAAACACTCTCAAAATTGTGTTTTTGTCCTGTCTGGCTTCAGTCAACAGTACTGATTGTGGTGCTTGGAAATGTCGTTCTGCCTTTCCCCTGGGGATGCCAAACGCAACTCCAGTATTGACATGAAAGACAGCATTGTTTTTTTACTTAATGCCAAGTATTCTGTGGATGCTGAATTAGCCCTTATTTCCTTTCTTGTCAGCATTCAAGATTGCTAATTGACATAGTACACACCTGACACTGAGACAACATAAAGGGCTTTACAAGGCCCTTCAGTCCTACCGTTTGTTTTAAGAAGGATTCTTCAAGGGATTCCCCACCTCTTGCAGCAACTCAGCATCACCAGGCAGTCTCTATTACGTATCGTCTTTGAAGAAGAATGTGCCTTAGTTTGAAGGGAGGAGGTGAGGAGGCACTGGTTCAGCATAGCTCTCTACCCTCTTATTTTCAAGAGTATTGAATCCTGAGTAGCAGCAAGCAGCCCTGGCGCCTATTTCAACAAGCAAGTTTAGATTGCCTTTCATTTTTTATTCTGAACCTTAAGATTAAGGGATGTCAAAGAAACTGGTACACATCACCTTCTGGATACTCCTGGCTGGAAATGAAGGTTTTAGGATGGCCAGGTTTTTGGGTTTAAGAGTCTTTCTAAATATCTTAAAACAAATTTGAAGTCTCCTCCAATTTGCACTCAGGGAGGAAATTGAAACTGCTAATAGTTGGTTACAAGTTACTATGGTATGTAGAGTTAATTAAACCATTTTGGATCATAGCAAGATCTTTTGATACGTTCTTTTCTTCCAACTATAAAGGAAATACCAGTATTCTTAGGAGCCACTATCTCTTCATCTGTCTGGTTCCATCTTCCTTGATTCTTCCAGTAGTAAAGAGAAATCCAAGCAATCATGCTCTCACACTGCAGGTTTGAAGTACCTAAATAATTTTTGTTGGTTAAAGAGTGTTCATTTCAGCTGCTCAGCGATACCTGATGTCCTTTGCAGAATCCCATCCCATAAATTCCAAGGAAGACTTGGATGCAGATTGTTGCTATGCTCTTTGGCAATTTCTGACATCTCCTTTGTGTTTAGTGCAGGGACACTCAATGGTTATCTGCATTTAAGGATTCCAGAACAATTCTTAGCCTGCTTTGAATCTTTTATGGCTACTTAGAAGAAGTAGCAGATCTGCCTGTTGGCTTGGTACAGTGGCCACTTCCCTTCTGTTCCACACCTAGAATCTGTTCCAGCAACAAGAACACAAGGGATGATACTGTCATCACTGGCATAGACTACAGGTGTCATTGCCAGCTTTTACCCCCTCATTGTCTTCTTGTCAGCAGTCTTGAAAACATTCTCAAAGAGTGCAAATATCCCATTCAGTTGCTTTCATCTGCTTCTTTATCTCTCACTTTTGGAAACATGTTCACTCTCTTCCATCGAACTTGGCAAGGGATCATTCTGGGGTTTAGACACTACAAGATACTTGATCCAGTATGCCTTTCTGTTCTCTAGCAGTCCCACGCCTCTCCCACACCTCCCGTTATGAGTATTTTTGGACGCCCACCCTGTACAAATTTGCTTTGAAGGAAATTGTCTCTTCATTAACCCTGGGAACCACAGAACTCATGACCTTTTACCTCAGTTCATCTCTGAGTTTAGAGGGTTTAGAGAAAGCAACCTAGACAGGTTATTGACACGGCTTAAGAAGGCTCAACAACCTTATCCACATATTTTTATTCAAAAGGGTGAAGTTAGCAGTACATGGACAGCATAGCAAAAAATCCCCCACTTTCCCTTCATACTCTTTGCTGCTACAGTAATGTTTACCAGTGCATTGGCTGGATGGTTGCTCACCTGAGACAATTGTATCTATTTTTATACCTTGGACAGCTGGCTTATAAAGGGAACCCTCAAGAGACCGGGTCCTCCAGTCTATTCATTGCATGTGTCAGAGAACGAATGTGCAAAAATCACTTCTCATTGCAGTTCAGGCCACAGAAATCATTACCAGATGCCAAAGATTTACTACCTTTTGACAAATTGCAGATCATGAGAACCTAATGCCACAACCGGACTTTAATCCTGTTACCACAGTGAATTCCTGCTTGTTTATCCCAAGACAAATGGCAGCATATACTTAACGTTTTGTCTGGTCGTGGTAAGTGTAAAGGCAGATACCTTTTAGCCTTTCTTTAGAAGCAAGATATTCTCCAGTTATGTGGAGAAATCCATTCAGCATCTGTCCTTTTAATAATACCTTTGCATCCTCCTCTTTCATCTAGGTCAGCTGTGATGGGTGCGTCCCTTCTGCAGGCCTTTTGGTTCAGTTTCCCATGTACTTGTTGGCTGGTGGTAGAGGATGCTAGGACAGTGTACTGTGTAACTGCTGGGGGTAGCCTGAGGTTGCTGTCTACCAGCCTGAAAGCAGCTGACCCAGGAACCTTGCACCAGTAGGAATCTATACCCAGCCTGAGAACTGACTTAAATATTTTCTTTTGTATTAATTCAGTGTTGTGGATTCAGTTCATTGAGCTTGGTTCTCCAAATGCTCTTTGGACCTTTGTTTGAGTCATAGAGTCCTCTTTTCTTGCTGTTCCATCTTTTTGCAAAAACTAGTTTGCAATTGCTTCCAACAGGAAAACAGGGAGGTAGCTAAGCCAGGGTAAGTTGGATTTCCTCCTTGCATGACATTCTCTCAGGTGAAGGTGTCCGTGTGGATCCATACAGAATTATTTCCCAAGGTGATTTCAGACTTAATCTTAGTCAGAAAATAAGTATACCTGTTGCTGTGTTTTCACCACAAACCTGATGTTTCTGAGATCAAAGTAGTCCTTCCCACCCTCTGTTGAAAAGGCTCTTTCATCTTGCATTGATCGGGTCTGACCTTTCATATAGGACCTGAGACTGACTGTGCTGATACCTGGCAGATACAGAAGAATGCCCCTATCCATGTGATGATCAAATGGATGGTGGGCCACAGGAAAAAAAATGTAATGAGATTGTCAGGTTGGAGCCAATTTTTGTCTTTGGAGCTAGAATTACTTTTCTGGACCATCACTGGTTTATCATTTGTGGCACTCACCTGGAAGTGTACGCATACCTTCACCAAGCACTGTGCTGTTACAGGGGTGTGCAGGGCTTCCAGCTAGGTGGTCCACAGGTACATCCCCTTCCTGTTATCCTCTCCTAGTCCTTCCCTGTTAGCCAACGCAAATATTCTACAGTTTAAAGAAAACTAAAATAGCACTGACTGTGCTTGTCTTGCACAGTTATGTGCCAAGCCTAAAAGATGGTAGGGTATGAATATGGCCTCTAGGAAGAAAATGGTTGCCACTGTCAAATAGCAGGGCTTATATATGTTTATAGTACAGAGGTACATTTTGGTCACAGTTATTGAAGAGTGAGTAAGTAGCCTTTTATTTTTGAAATTATGTGGTCTTTGAGAATAATTTGTTTACCCGATAAATATGAAATTCCTTTATCATCTGCAGTAAAAGTAATGCAAGCCTTTTTTTGGGGAGTGGGGTCTTGGTGTAAGTGTAGTGGTAATACTTAATACACTTAATATTTCCCTCTGCTCTAAGAAGCTGTGTTATTCCCCATTTGAAAGGTATAAAATATTTCATAATTTCTTATTCCTTAGTAGTTTTTCAGTAAGAAGAGACTGTTTCTTAGTAGTCTGTTTCCATTGTTACCCTTCAAAGTAAGCTGTCACATTAGAGATCATTCTGGTGTCAGAGAATAAACATAGATCCAATGAGAAAAAGATGAATTGTGAACCCATTTAGGAAACACAGATGTATTCTTTTATTCCCCCCCCCCCCCCGCCCCCCAAAATGTTTTTTTTGCAGTGGCAAAGGCAGGACAGAACCATATGTCTTTTCCAGACAGTATCACTTGCTTAATAAAGAAGGAATAAAACTGAGAAAGTACTTGTACTTGTAAATATACCTGTGAGACATTTAAAAGCAGTTTGGATTTTGATAGTTTTCAGTTGATCGTCAAGGATCAAAGACCTGCTAATAAAGATACAGACCTCTACAGACTTTCCTTAATAGAACATTCAGGAAATGAAGCTACTCGGGCAGAGAAATAAAAGTTCTTGCATTTATAAGGGTAATTTCTTATATGAGACTGCAGTTTCTGGCCCTCTGCATTTCAGTTCAAGTTCTTAGGACTAAGTGCACAGTGTTCGTTATAGTAGGGCAGTCACCGTGGTACTAGGTTTTGGCGTCACAGGAGATACAAGTTTAAATACCAGAAAT